GCATCACATTTGAGCAATACATGTTTTTAACAACGTTGAAAAAAGGTCCAGATATGCCAGTATTACATAGTTTATACAAAAGAAGGGAGTGAATAACATTATCAAATGCCTTTGCAAAATCAACAAAGCATGTATATAATTTAGCTCCCTTGCTGAAAAATTTATCTATCAATGTTTTCACTACAAACATGTGATCAGATGTTCTGGAATTGGGTTGAAACCCAATTTGTGCTTCATTAATAATTCCATTATCTATAATTTTTTGTAATCCATTATTCATTATACAATTAAATACCTTTGATAGACATGGCATAACAGATATACCCCTAAAGCAGTTGGGGTCTTTAGTATCACCACCTTTATGAATTGCTTTAATATAACCAACTTTCCATGAAGATGGATAAACACCACTTGAAAGTATACAATTAAACAATTTTTTAAAACTTGACAAAAGAAAACTTTGGCTAGCTTTAATCATTTCATTAGAAATGGAGTCAAGACAGCAGATTTTTTGTTTTTCAATGAAGAAATGGCTTTGGATATTTTTTTTTCAGAAATTGCAAAGTCTAGCTCATTGAAGGTTTTCATTTTTTCAACAATTTGTAGTAAATCAGCATATTTCTTGTCAATATGTTCAAACTCCTTCTTTACACAAAAAAGATTTGTAAAATAATATGTATACAAAATATCATGAGGCTGTAATGTTACTTAAATTTTCTACCACTGACTATTGATATTGAAAATTTAACTAAGTCGGTAAACCAGAAGTGGATGAGCATCAGACCTGAAATGGAATCCAACAATATGGGACCACATGTCAATGCTGTGAACCACATATCTGTGGTAAGTAGTTGCTGAGAAAACTGTAACGAAAATTTCCTACTATTGATCACTAATTATGTCAAAATTTAACTAAGTCGGCAAACAGGAAGTGGATGAGCTTCAGACCTGAAATCGAATACCACAGTATGGGACTACGTGATAATGCTGTATACCAAATCCCAAAAGGCTGTGATAAGTAGTTGCTGCATAAACTGTTATGAAAATTTCCAACCATTAACCATTAATGTCAAAAATGTAACTAAGTCGGCAAACAGGAAGTGGATAAACGACAGACCTGAAATCGAATCCCATATAATGTGACCATGTGTTGATGCTGTCTACCAAATATCAAAAGGCTGTGATAAGTAGTTGCTAAGAAAACTGTTACGAAAATTTCCTACCATTGACCATTAATGTAGAAAATTTAACTTAGGCGGCAAACAGGAAGTGGATGAGCGACAGACCTGAAATCAAATCCCAAGGTTACATGGAACCATGCGTTAATGCTGTATACCAAATATCAAAAGGCTGTGGTAAGTAGTTGCTGAGAAACTGTTACGAAAATTTCCTACTATTGACCATTCATGTTGAAAATTTAACTAAGTCGGCAAACAGGAAGTGGATGAGAGACAGACCTAAAATTAAATCCCACCATATGAGACCATGTGTTGATGCTGTATTACAAATATCAAAAGGCTGTGATAAGAAGTTGCTGAGAAAACTGTTACGAAAATTTCCTACCATTGACCATTAATGTAGAAAATTTAACTAAGTCGGCAAACAGGAAGTGGAAGAGTGACAGACCTGAAATCGAATCCCACATTATGGGACCACATGTTAATGCTGTATGTCAAATATCAAGAGGCTGTGATAAGTAGCTGCTGAGAAAACTGTTCGTCAACCGCCCGCCCGTCCGCCACCTAACATTCACCATACTATAACCCGGATTTGCAATTGTACAACCGAGCCCAAAATGCTGCATTCTGTGAATGTGTTTGCAAGTTTAATTTCTATAGGCTAATTTGACCTACTCCAGTTCTGTGTGAGATGTGGAATTGACAGTAGTTACTGTGAAGCTGAAAAATTTTATGAGAACAAACAAAAGAAATTGTCTGATAACAGTGGAAAATGTGTCTTAAGCATTCCACCTGGAAAGTCTTATATGGCTTCAATTAAAGTTCACTCACAGTGGTTCTATGTAAGAAAAAAGTAGTTATAAATATACACAAATGAATCAGTTTATTTGAGAATCCTTATAAAAGTTTTAAACGTAGGCCTAATGTATATTTAATCAACTGCTTATGTTGTTAATCGCTAAATCAGGAATAGTCAGCAAAACTTTTGGCTATTTTTTTTTTTAAGTTAAAAATATTGGCTATTATTCTTTTGAGCCAGTGTGAGCCCTGTATCAGTTACGACAATAAATCTGTAACAGGTACTCACTGGTAGGCATCATGTATTTATGTCTTCAATCATTGCTTCCTTTGATTTTGTTTCTGAGAACACTACAAAGGTATTATAAATATTAGGGGTGTCATCGATAAGGATTTTTGTATCGATATATCAGTAATGAATTATCGGCGATATATCGATTGCCAGGCAAAATTAAGCTTTCAAGTCCTTTTTAATTTGTTTTAATATGCAGTTATATTTAAACACATGCAAAAAAATAAGTAAACTATGAACAGTGAACAATTTGTTTCTTTTTTATATCATAACTTTTAATGACAGCTAATGACTAGTAACTATATTTAAAGCCTTTTCCATGTTACTTTTGTTGTTGTTGTTGCCATTACGTAGTTACCTATTATGCTAAATCCCGTCCTTGCCATTCCATTAGTAAGCCGGAGTTTAATTGGCAAATTATAGTGTTTAGAACCAGAATAATTATCAAAGTTTAACATATGTTATCATAATTTTTACAAAGAAACACTTACAAAAATTATCTCGGCATTTTCCCTTTTTAAAATCTGAATTGGGGGGTCTTGACCCTCACTTTGCAGACAAGCCAGATTACAACGAAATTCGGCAGCATTACTTAGAGACACTGGGAGGTAACTCTGGTGTTGATTTCCGTTTTCGTTTTAGAAAAAAAAATGTTTGAAATATTATGTTAGTTCTGGCTTCCATAACTTTAAATGTGGCTTTTATTTTGACCTTTGGTCTATCAGTAATATAAAACCTGTTTGCTGAAGTCTCTATAGCTAGAAATATGTGTGAATTCGATATCCGATATTTAAAAAATGGAATCGATGTCGATTCGGATAACAAAGATCGTTGATACACCGATATCGATTGAATCGATTACACCCCTAATAAATATAAATCTTTAAATATACATGTATGTATTTTTTTCCCCAGCTTCTATTCCTGAAGTCCTGTTTATAACCATATTTATAAATTTAGTATTGCCCAAGAAGGAATTTGAGTAAGCTAAACTTGTATTATGACCAGGTTGCTTGATTGTAAGTGTGTCAACATTCAATATTATAAAGTAATTAGGTCATCAAATGGACTGTAAGGTAAGCAGATATACACATATTCAATTACACATTTTGATAGGATAAAATTGTCAAGTCAAGTGTCTGTTAAAACTTGTGTAGTTTTCAGATGATGTATATCCTTGCAAGAGTGTTTATAAGTTTATAGATTTAGGTCACAAATTGATGGGAATTCACAAATCAAGGAGTATAAGGAATTTATAAGGGAAGAAATTTAATATAAATTGAGATTTTATGAGGCATTTCAGATTTTACATACAGAAAATGTTCTCTGCCTCCATAATTTTCTGTAGAGAAAACCCATTGTTGCACCGGGATATAATCCACAGAACAGCCTGGTTGCTACAACTGTATCCTAGAGTCATTAGTTTTGACGCCCTTAAGCAGTTTAACTAATGCATTTTTTTATATTGAACTTGATCATTAAATAATATACAATATAAAGTTACTATGGCATGTTGTTTATCACTGCAAACCATTTTTATGTTTGTTAAAAATCCAAAATCAGTTAAGTTTTGTACTTAAGTAAACAGACCGTGGAGGCATCCATTGTTGTTTACAGTCATATGAAATGACGCCTTTTCATTGGGTGGTTATTTTAAAAGGATATTTCACTATAATGTAATATGAACAGCAAAAAAAGGTTTTAAATGAGCAAACCTACAATGAAACAACATTGTGAAAACTTAAAATTAATTTATTTCATATAAAACTATCCATTAATTAGGAATGCCACACACTCTGGCAGTGGTCTCATTTGCATTAGTAAAAAGATGAAAAACTACAGTATGCTTTTCTCTCGTCGATTCGTGACTCTTATTTGGAAAAATTGCACTTGCACAACAAATATCAGACATACATACAGTTCAATTAGTGCATTTGTTAAATAAATTCATTATCTAAAAGTTCAAAAACTTTAAATTACTTCTAAAAACAACCGCTCAAAGATTAGAGCAACTGAACATGTCAACCATGACTGTCTTGCTCAGCTGGACGCTTACCCATCGATTCGTGAAATCCGATTCACCCTGTGACATCATCAAAATATAGGTGCTCACACCACTAAATGTTCGCATGGTTATTTTCAGCCCGATCTGATCAATATATGTTTCAAAGTCTTAAGTAAATTCTTACAGCATAATGAATATTTTTTTGGCTTAAATGTAAGTGTGTTTGATAAATTAAAACATCAATATCGAATATTTTAAAGTAATTAGGTCACCAGCTGATTGTAGGGTAAGGTCATTTACACCTGTTCAATTACGCATTTTGATTGGATAGAATTGTCAAATCGAGTGTCTAATAAAACTTGTGTAGTTTTCGGATGGTGTATGTCCTTGCAGAAGTATTTATACAGACAATTATTTAGGTCACGAATCGATGAGAAGGCACGAATCAATGAGAATAAGGCATACATATGATAAAGGTGTAGTCTTTTCAGTGAAATGTCTCTATCTTTTAACATGTTTTAGTTATACGTTGTAAATACATGCTTGCAGTGCAGTCAGCAAATTATGACGTCATACGAGGTCGTTTTCGTCATTTGCTAGGTCAAAACAAAAATGGCGTCAAAATAGATGAGCGTCAAAACACATGACCTGACGATACAACTTATCATATTTTTATCTATGTACAATGAAATAAAATTGTGTCACTACTTCTAATGAGAACACTTACAAAACTGTTTCTTTTGTCCTTTTTATCACCCATAGTTGCTCTCTATTGCTTTCTAACACATTATCTGTACATAACGTCTATAGGTCATGTAGATCTAAAACCAAAATAAAAATGGCCCAGCCCAAGTGTAGGTTTTCCTGAATATATTCGTTTTTTCTTATATTGACGATCAACTTTAAAGGAATGAAGTATATGATTAGATATATTACACCACTTGTCAAAACGATTTAAAATAACACATCGTTAAAATCAGTAAAAACAAACAAATGATGTCAAACTCTGATATGATTAATTCTAACTTCCGCCATTAGTCCTCCCAGCTCATCATCCAATCAACTTCACTGTAACTTTCACTTTTAGGTTATGGGTAATATTCAGACGTCGTTGTCATCTCTGTAGTATTCTAGAATTGTACGCGCTTTGAAAGGGGTCTTAACCAAAAATATTTCAAAGAATATTGATAATTTTTCTTAGCTAGGATTTGATTCATTTTAACCTCAATGGTTGTATTTGAAGAAGTTGCAATACATCTTGTAGTTTAGAAAAGTTGTCAAGTACTTAAACTGTTCTTGTGTGCTTAAACTGTTCTTTCACGAACGTGTTGCTTCACAAAAAAATTATGAAAAACCTTGGAATTACCCAAAAACTAGTTTTTCCATGTTAACACATGCCCTTACACTTAATTTTGGTGGAAAATTGTTGTTTTGTGACATTTTTTAATTAAAGAGATGGTCTGGTAACTTATTTAGGTGACGAGACGAAATTAACTATAATTGTTTGTTATTCTATCTAAATAAATATGACACGCAAAAAAACTTATAATATTGCATCATTTGTTTAAATTTGCCTCCAAACAAGGAATCGGCGGCCAAAATTCCATTCGAGTTTCATATTCGCTGAAAAGATCCATAGGTGAAATAGAAAACCATCTACAATAGTACCGATTACTTTCATTAACATTTAAAAGCCAGTATAAAGCATGTAACAATCCGGAGTTCCTTTCGACTTAAATACCGCGGAAGCGTATTATATTCGAATTACCACTACCAGGGTTTTTCAAATAGGCCTATATATGAAAGACCCTGCCACTATTTGAAAAATTATATAAATTGAAAATGGCCACTACTGCATATGGTAGTTTTGAACATCTTCCACAGGTATAAAAATAAATGTTTTGGAACAGTTTGGTGTCACGAGGGAGGAACTGTTACACGAAAAATGAAGTTCTTATGGTAGCTTGTCAGGAGTTCTTCTAATAACTGTCTAGGAGTTCCTGGAAAACGTTACCGTATATACAGAAAAAAACACTACTGGTGTTCTTCTGATAACTTTTGTTGTTTTTTTTTGCGCAAAGTTACTGCACGTTAATTTTAGCGTATTTTACTATTCAATAAAGGTGTTAATCATTATGAAACGTAGAACGTTCATCCTTTGCACAAAAATTTAGTTTTGAGATAGTAGTATACAGTCTGCAAAGGAAATACAGGTGAACAGGCTATCGATGGTAACACCTTAATAAGTGGTCGCCTGTATTCAGCAGTACCATGCATGGCTTAAACCGTGAAGCAAAACTGTTTCAAAACTTATACAATTTGTTCTCAGTTACACACGTTTTAAGCAACCGTCTTTCTTATTAAGCAAACAATATATTATATAGTTGTGCTTCCCTTATTTAGCGACTAGGTAGTTTGTATCATTTTTTACCCTAATAAACAAGGATATAACCACGGTAACCTTCACACCTATGCCCCCGAAAAATACGATCTTTTTATACATGATAAAAAATTCAACCGCGGTTGGCTCTAACGTTACTGTACTGTTGAAATACTATGAAATAATTCTCAGGGTAACATCGCACTTACCATACTATCAAAAACTAAAAAAAGGATGGGAGCGTACTGTGCTCTGCAGTTTGTTTTTCTTATGTACATTTTACATAATTCATATTGTTTAATAATTCCATTTCATGTAGTGAATTCCATGAAAACAATTGACTTTCCAAAACACACAGTTATTCCATAGCAACCACTGATTTTCCATCGCAAACATTGACTTACACAGCAACCATTAGTTAAAAATAGATGACAAACAGTTACTTATCTAGCAACGATAGACTTATAACAGAAACTAGTGACTTCAAAAGAAACGATTGAGTTTAATTAGCAACCATTAATTGTTATACCAACAACTGACTTTCCTTTGCAATCAGTGACTACCATAGAAATCATTGACTTCCTTACACAAACAGTGATTTCCATAGCAAAAATTAACTTTATATATATACAAACCAGTCATTTCATTAGCTTTCCATAGCAACCACTGATTTTCCATAACAACCAATGATTTCCATAGCAACCACTGGCTGCCTTTACAACCAGTGACTTTCATAGCGACCATTAACTTCCTTAGCAAACAGTAATTTCCATAGCAACAATTAACTTATAGACACTACTGACTTCCATAGCAGCCATTGACTTTCTTTAACAACTAGTGACTTCAATAGCCACCATTGACTTCATTTAAAAACAGTTACCTTTATAGCAACCATTGACTTTCTTTTACAACCAATGACTTCTATAGCAACCATTGACTTCCTTTAGCAAACAATGACTTTCTTAACAACAATTGATTTTTCATTGCAGCGAGTGACTTTTTGAACTTAGATATCTGTTGGCCTATATTTTGACCTAATACCTGCTTTTCACTCATAGTTCAATATCACTTGTCCATTGCCATTGAGAACCGGCCGTTATAGTCAGGTCAACGATACACATGTAGTTGGGCCATCATGGCTTTTTTGTTTAATATACATAGATACCTTTCTTATATTTCATTTGTAAAGAAGTCGTACATTAAAACTAAATCTATTACCAGAATGTTAGAACAAAGTATTTGTGGAGTAGGTTTCATTTGTTACCACCAATTCCACGGAGAAATGTGTTGATGAAGAAGCAGACGACACCTGAGATGACCGTCATAATTAGCCGTGAATTGAATTCGTATATGAAAAACATCTACTATAACCATTCTGCCAACGAGAAATTGTTTAGTGCATGCATATTTTTTACATTTTAATAATTGCAATATTTTCAGTTGAACATTGTAATATTAACAACCCTTCTAACATCGTAACATTTGCGAGCCTTTAAAGATGCATTTCCCCAGAAATAAATACATATAATTTTCTCTAAAAAGGACAAAAATTGTCTTGTAATGTTTTAAGAAATGAACTGAAGCATGATACACGCTAAAATCATATGAACAGAGAAGTGTTTGAAGTGAAATAATATGTCATAAATATAGCAAAAAAATTAATGTAAACAAACTGGTATTTTGGCTCCCATTCAAAATGCTAAATTACCATAACTATACAAATTAATTGTATGCCATAAAAGCAAAACGTGACTGCTTATTTGGCTTAGGAAACTAAAACAAAATATTCAAAAGTGAATTATGAATTTTAGCACTTTTGTGGCTCAAAGGGCCTTTAAAGATTTTTAACATTGCAATATAAACGATAATTTTTACAATGCAATATGAACGATAATTTAAACATCATCTTTACCATATCGTAATAATTTATACTTAATAAGATAATTACGGAGTGGTCGAATTCACTATTATGCCCAAGTTATAGTCAAATTTATTACCGCAAGCAGACATTAGTGAAATACTTTACAAATATCGAAATCCATACCAACTGTAATGCAAACGCTGTGAACCGTCTTTGCTTTAAATTCACAACTAAATAAACGTTTCTTGTACTTGTGCAAGAAATATAACATTCAACTATAACCAGTAACACAGGAACGTGAAAATAACACAGGAATTGTGCAAAAGTAACGGCCAAAAATGTGCAAATTAAACTATGGCCGAATCAAGTAACATGGTAAATAAATTGACCAAAATATTTTATAATCAATTAAATTAAATGAATAAACGTACTTTACTTTAACCAGCATTCAAAATATTTCCAGGAATAATTAAGTTTACATTAAAAGATCATTCGTCAGAATGACGACCTAACCGTTTTGATGGCGACCTCTGTGTTTCGTCGATATCAATAAGTACAATAACGCATTTAAAACTTTATTGTTTGATAATCGGTTTTGACTTTTGACTTTAAACTACTTGTGTCATATAATACTAAGAGAATGCAGATAAGTATGGAAGCACTGGAGGGCCCTTTTGATTTCTGACTGAATGACTTTTGACTTGGGACTTATGACTTTTGACTTGGGAGTTTTGACTTTTAACTCCAGACTTATTACTTCTTAGTTGTGAAATTAATTAATTAAACCACGCTTTAAGAGAACACGTGAGTAATAAGCGAAGATGGCTGTGTTGTGCCAAAATATGAAATTCGTGTTTGCGTCTTGTTTTCTGTGCACTCTGTTGAAGATAACAGCTGATGTGGTGCCAGCTTACCTGCCTTTGCCGTCTCCGAATGTTGATAAAGCATCACGCATTGAAGAATATTTCAAACAAGGTTTTAAATACAGTGAAATTCTTGGATTTTTGCTACTTAAGCATGGTATTTTGTTGTCACTGCGTCAGCTGAAAAGAATCTTGAAGAAGTTGAACGTGAAACGTCGAGGTGTACATTTGCAATCGCAGTTGAAAAACGTTGTTCGTGTAATTGGCACGGAAATGCATTATAGTGGACAGTCTGTCGGTTATCGGACGATATGGCGCCGGCTGAAAGTGAATTATAATATGGATGTAAGCCATAAAGATGTTATGGACATAATGAAGGCAATAGATCAAAATGGTGTTGAAATGAGAAAAGCACATCGACTTAAAAGACGTTTCTATTATGCAAAAGCGCCAAACAATATTTGGCATTTAGATGGTTATGATAAGTTGAAACCATTCGGATTTTGTATACACGGTAGATGGTTTTAGCAGGAAAGTTATCTGGTTAGAAGTTTCTGACACTAACAACGATCCAAAACTGATTGCGATATATTATTTGGATGCATTGAAGCGCATTGAAAAAACACCTCGCATACTTCGTTGCGATGCTGGAACAGAAAACAGTGTTGTTTGTCTTCTACAGCAGTTCTTTCGGAATGAAGCGACCGACCACTTTGCTGGTAGTCGCAGCGTTATTGTTGAAAGAAGCACTTCTAACCAGCGCATTGAAAGATGGTGGGGGTACGCTACGTCAACAAGGAATACAGTGGTGGATTAACTTTTTTAAGGATTTGCGCGATTCTGGTCATTTCAATGAACTCGACCAGATACATAGTGAAAATTTGAAATTTTGTTTTATGAACCTAATACAAACACACCTGGATAGAATTGCTCAACAGTGGAATGTACATGAAATTAGACCTCAG